AGGACGAATATGGCTCTTGCCAATCGTGCGTCCAGTTCGTTGTGTTGTCGGCGGATGGGAGTAGCTTCCAACACTGTGTACAGTTGCTTAGGTGTTCGTGATCCTATCAGGTCAGGTTGCACGGGACTGAATATGAAGTCTTGAAGTATTACACGTGTGCGAGGTTGTGCCCAATGGTTTAGGATCTTAGTAGTTTCCAAGTTTTCATCTGGTTCTGCGTCAGGGTGAGCCGGGTACGGACAAGGCTCTACTGCGGCAGTTGTTGGGCAATTAGAGTGAGTCCGCGTCATGTTTGTACAGGAAGGTTACCTGAAATGAGTTAACAGGAGGGGAGAGGGGTGCAGTACATTATATGAATGACACTACGAGACGGGGAGATATTTACCGTTCAGGCATTAGATCAAGATACAGGTCTAGATTCCTTTTGAAAGCGGATCTTGTGGGGGCATTAACTACTTCTTGTGGGAGGCTATTTCAAAGAAAAATGACCCTGTGGGTGTGTTGTGACTATGATTGTACGAAGGAAAGGATCAATCCACGAGGACGTTTTCCGTTGATATTTTCTTCATAATCAACACTGACTCCAACTGTGATACTTCTTTGTTTTACTTCTACTTGTTTTACTGAGCACGGTTTTCCGCTCAGGTGTTTATATAAGCTGGGTCCTGGTCAAACCCACGCAACACGTGTGACACAAGTAGTGGCATGGCATCCCAACTATTAGGATTTCTAAAAACGACCTATTTTTGAATTTATTTTAGAAAAGGCGATGTCTAATTCAGCCGAATTGGAACAGATTTTGCTTTTGGCTTATTCTGAGTGATTTGTTGAAATTTAGTTCGTTTTAATCAAACATAATTAACTTTGTACGGAAAGTATAAATACCGCAACCTAATAGCGACGATCACTTCCACGCTCATATCAACTGTGGTTCACGTTGACGGTACGGTCGTTTTTGAACGGATGGTAAAAATTGCTATGGTTCGCTGGACGAATTCTTTCGTGGATTACAAAGGGTTACTTGCACTTACTTCCACGTTTATGCGTCAATGATAGCCGAACAACTGATACCGAAAAGTTTGGTTGGAAACTGACTCTGCTTGTAGTACTATTTCATCAAATGTTGCTGTGTACATCATAGAAGGCGCGCCGTAACTGCAACCAGGTAATTTTACCTTTCATTTCTAATATATTTAACCAACTTCTGGCTGCAAAATATCGATTGTCCGGCATTCGTTGGAATTCGCGCGGTCGGAAGGGAGTACCGCGAAATGAAACGTTGTCTGGTGCACAACCATGACTTCAATGTGGGTCAGCAGGGTCTGTATTTAAGTATTCGTCGTCTACCTGGAGAACAGGAAGAGGAAGTGTGTACTTTGATGGACAATTTTACAATTACTCGCGAGCTAAGGGATTTCGTCACACAAAGGTTCCAGACACCCTTAACAACGGCAGATATAAGATTTATACGTCAAAGGAGGTCTCAGTCGGATTCACGTGGCGATGCGATGAAAGTTCGGGATATGCTGGAGAGTCAGGGAGAGCTTGGGATAGGGCTGAACGAAGGATTCGTTCGTCACATTTATTTTGTTCCTAAGATTATGCTGCACTGCGTCGCCAAGTTTAATGTTGTTTTGTTAGCAGACGCCACGCATCAGCTTAACTGTGGCGGGTACGTGCTTTCGCATGCTATGCTTGTAGACGACACTGGTTTAGGTAGAAGCTTCTTCTACAATATCTTGCCGAGTGCGAGCGGTGAGAGCTATAGATCTGCTGCGGGAGCCATGAAATCTATGTGCCTAGTCTTTGCACAATGCAAGACTATAGAAGTTGATGGTATCTTGGCTCATTTCAACGCATTTTCAGAATACTTCCCGTCCTCTGATGTGATATTTTGTCGTTTCCATCTCGTCAAGGATATAAATAATAAATGTAACCAGCTATCTGGTATGCCAACCTTTGAAAAGCAGCGTATATTTTAATGGATGCGCAAAATGGTGTACTGTGATAATGAGGTGTCGTTTCGTAGATTCCTAACTGCCGTAGAAAGTCGTAGCAGAAAGCAGGTGTTTATTTACTCCGAACTTAGTTACCATACCGAAAGCATTGGGCATGATATGCCGTGAGGACTAGGACTAGGACTTTAGGAAACCTAACTACTAACCGAGTGGAGACGGAAAATGAGCACTTCAAGACGGGCTGCTCTCCTCGGTCTTCATTAGTGTATGTATTTAAGAAAGTGCTACAACGAGTAAGGTCACTTGAAGTGACGCATGGAATTCGCCTTGCTAAAGATTCCATGCGGGGGTATCCGACACCCAGCGGCATGCAGTCGTTTAAACCGTTGCTCATACGAGTAACACAATTTGCGCGGAATATGTTATTAAGTAACTGGGAGTCATGTAAGATTGAACTAATTGTTCACGATAGAGGGTTCTTCATGGTCGTGGATAGTAAGCGCAAGCGTCATAAAGTAGTTACTGCAGGGGAAACGGAGTGTGAGTATTATTTCTATGCGCAGTGGTTGTTGCCCTGTTTGCATATAGCCGGGGTATTCGACCTGATTAATTGGGATATTCAAAGTTTTATTCCAGATATGTGGATTATAAATCGCACCGAAAAGCATTCAGATCAGAACTCCACTGTGGTAATAGCGGCCTCAAGAAACGTCATGGATAAGCCATCAGAGTTGGCTCAGACAGACTATGTCCTTCAAGAGCTGGGCGTCTCTGAATAGTTTAAGTACAGTAAATTACAATTTTCAATCGTCATGAAAGTTAGATTTACTTCGTATTCGTCGATGATCTCAGGCTGAAAGTTTCAGAATAGTATTTAGAATAGCTTTTCACAGTTATATGGAAGGTACTGTTCTTAAAGATTTAGTATGGATAAATTTCCCTCCCGAGAACTCGCTCATAGAGATTAAACATTAATTATTTTATTTTTTCATTTAAAATAAATTTCCCTTTAATTTTTAATTGTTGGTTGCCGTATTGAAACCGGCGTTATGTTTAGGGTCTTGAATAAGCGAAATAATTTTAGGCGCCGGGGTCTCCATTTGGGATTTTTTTCAGGGCTTGGAGAATGGGGATCGAACAAATGACCTTGAATTTTTTGAATGAAGTCGCGCTACGCGCTTACCGTATGACACTTTTTCGCTTTGCTACTGCATTTATTGCTTGCATTGTTTAGCGTCACCTCGGCACGTTTCGGTATTATCTAGTACCACGATTCGCCAATAAACGTCTTCGACTCCCACGAGTGTTTTTTGTCTACCTTGGGCAACGAGAGACTGGGAGATCGCGCGAAATTTGAGACTCGTAAGAAGACTTACCGGCAGGCCGTCAACGCCGATAAACTTCATCGATGAGCCCGCAACGTCTACTTTGTAAGTCAAATCCAATTTGGTTTGCACTTATTTCCCATGGTTCAGTTTCATTCGCACGATATAATTATTTATCGCAATTGTACGATGGCCGAAGAGGGTACACCAGTAGACGATAGGGAACTGAACATATTGGTTATTAGTATCAAGCCAGTAGCTTTTATCCCTCACGACCCTGAAGTGTGGTTTGCTGCGTTAGAAATGCAATTTGTCGCCCGTAACGTGCGGAGCGAGTGCTCCAAATACGTTTACGCGGTAGAGTCGATTCCTGCCCACCGAATGACCGCCATTACGAATAATATTCTTAAACCGCCGGAGAAGAACGCGAAAGACGTTCTGAAGGCTGTGGTCTTTCAGTTCTACACTCCTTCTAACGAGGAAAGGTTATGCCAGTTGCTGGCTCGTCACCCGATTGGTGACACGACGCCAAGCAGGCTTCTGGCGCGTCTACGCACGTTGGCTAGCCCAGAAACCGCCCATTCCGACATGGTCAGAGAGCTGTGGCTTGAGTTGTTGCCACGTACCGTCCAACCGACGGTAATGACTTTGCTGGAGGACTCCTCAATCGACAAAGCTGCGTCAATTGCCGACAAGATAGTTGCACGTGTCGGTAACAAGGACCATTTCCTCGTTGCCACGACATCGCAACCGTATAGGAGGAATTGGGATACGTTTGCGGTACGGCTTCTACAGCCACGACAAAAATTAATGCACCACTGCTTGTCCCTCAAGGACAGAATCCCGTTGCCCGTATTGCGTATCAGTCGGAACAGTCTTTGACTATTCCCTGATGCAGCTGCTACTTCCATTTCACTAGCTATTGTTGCCCACCAGTGCCCACGGTCCTTCTTGAGACTCTTCGTGAGCCGACATTGTAGCTGCCGCCTAACTCTATTTTGATCCTGGCAGGTCGGGACTTGCCGTATTTGCCCCATCAGGACTACTGACTCCTGAAATATCCAATGCCTCCGATGGGTTTGAGGCTCAAACCCACAAGCCACATTCGATGAGGAATGCACTGCTCGCCTAAGCTCTGACCCATAGCGTGCACGAACCGCTGGAACAGATAGTCGTTAAGGACCTATCCGAGCTTGCTGGTTTTTCGCCGACCAGTCAGTCGGAGAGTGAACTGCATCAAAACTAATGCGTGAACAGACTCAACACAGGTGGTCCAATAGGACCCGCAATTTTGCACGGAGACACGCCAACGGTAACTTACTGCGATGTGGTCGATTTGGGTTAGTGTACCAGTTGAACTGGAGCGCCACGTTGCCGTCCGTCGAGAGCTGTGTCGGAAGTTGGTGCTTGATAGGAACAGGTGATGGCCTGCGCAAAACTGAAGTCGATCGTTGTTATCTGTTCGATGGCAGGGTCGAGCACAACTACCGCCTAGGCAAACTTCTGATGCGCTCAGTTTTCCAACTTGCGCGTTGAAGTCACCTGCAGGTATAACTATGTCAGAGCTTCGACTCATCCGAATGAGATCTGTGAGTTCATCGTAGAAAGCGTCCTTTTGGGTATCAGAACTGCAATCGGTCGGTGCATATGCTGATACGATAAACAAACACCTTTTAGTGTTACTTCCCTTCCGAACGCTGATTGAACCCTGGAGACGCACTGCACATAAACGACTTGACGGGGATCCAATCGATCCAAACGCCCTATTACTGAGTACAACACCTACCCCGCGCTGACCTACTAAACGAGCTTCATCGTCGCCTGATGTGCGAAGAACGTATCTCGTCGACAAATCTGGCGCGCTCAAGTGGCTTAGAGTAATGGGATCCTGGATCCGAGTTTCCGACACGCAGCAAATATCGATTCCTAAGGATTCCATTGTACAGGCCAGACAAGCTTGTTGACCTAGCTGCATCGAAGTCCTCACGTTGAACCCCCAACCTAGAGGATCAGGAGACTGAACTTCGTCTAACCTCTACCCATTGACCTTCCAGGCATGATAAGATCTCCTGGCTTTATAAAGCCATCTTGTGTAGCTCGTTGGGTCACAGAGGTGCACAAGCCATCACACCACGTGGTGTAGTCTCGTAGTGATGGTCAAATTCAACGCAGGTGGTCTTATAGGACCTGCAGTTTTGTATTGAACCACTCCAACGGTAGCTTACTGTTATGTGGTCGATCCGAGTAAGCGTGCCAGATGAATTAGAGGGTCACATTGCTGTCCATTGAGAGCTGTGTCGAAAGAAGATTGGATGGACAGGACATATGCGGGCAAAAACTCTGTTGTTTGTGGCAAAGCCGTTGATAATCCATCAGGAGGCTTTGCAGTCTATGGGAAACCAGACGTTTTGTTATTTTGCCGCAAATGCATGTCACACTGGCGAGAGATTAATTCGCTGGATCTGCTCTCGAACCGCTCTTAAACGGCGGCAGCATTAGTGCATCCTTCCTATCTTTGGGAAACCGACCGTGATTCAAAGGAGAATTAAACAAAACAGGGAAAGGGGCAGATATCATTGGCGCAAGGTGGCATTCAGTTTCTTCGGTACGGCCTTCACTTCATGAGGGTTGAACTCCGAGACAGCCAATACAGAAGGGTGCGGGTCCTGAATTTAAAGACTTTCCGGAATCGGCCTCTGCCTCGCATGGACAAAATCCTTTATATCGAGAGAAAAAGATGAGCGCGTGTACCGAATAAATAGAGCGAGTTTCCGAATTGGGTAGTTAGAAACTACGAGCATCGGCTACAGTCAATATTAAAAAGAGAATTGTACACATTAACTCTAAGAAAGACTCCAGTAAGTTAAATAATCGATATGGTAACCAAAAGTGAATTCTTACCATCAAGAATGCACCATTCTCCATCGATTTCCTTGTTCTGCATATAGGAATCCTCGATAGTGGGATCGTGATACTCTGCAAACATACGTTGAAAATACTACTAAAGTAATGACACGGCAAAAAATGCTGCACCTGAATAGTCAAAGCCGATTTTCCGACTCCTCCATCTCCTACAACAACGATTTTATATCGCGGACCATTCCAGGTATCAGCTGGGAGCCGCCTTGCCGCCATGTCTACAAAAAACTCAATCAGCGTTTTGAGAACTAAGGTTAACGGAACAACGAAACTGAACATCGGTTCAGTTCAGTTCCAGGACGTTGACGGTGGTGTGCCAGTTAGTCCAGTTTCTTCCAGCGGTGGGTTCCAGGGATCCCCCGATGCTACGACAGATGGAAGAGGGAGATGACTCATCCTCAATTTTGCGATCAAAAACTTCAGGAGAGTTGGGTGTTGACCTCCCACT